CACCAAACTCAAACTGCATGTCGCCCTCAGGGAGCTTAAGGTATAAAAGTAGGGATCTAGGGTATGCATATATTTAAAATTAAATAACAAACAAGATTTAGATAGCAAAACAAATAATTATTCAGGAAATTTTACAGGATAGTAAGTAGTTAAGGATCAACCTGGTAAGGGAGAGAATAAGCATTGTTCAAAAGGAACTTAGTACTGTTGATGGAGAAGCAGATGTTGTGCTCATTGCAAATGGAAAATAGTATTTCCCATACAAGCACTAACAGCTCATGTTTGGAATCTGACATAATCATATAGAAACTATTGTTAACTTCAAACAAGTAAAAAAACGCATAAACTAGACTCATATTTCTTATCAGATCTTTGTCACCTACTTTTGTCACCTATAAATGGTTAATTCTATTTATAGAAAAGAATAGTTAAACTTGAAAGAACTTGATAAAGTAACTTCATTTGAAACGCATTAACGTGTAGATATTAAGAATATTGGAAAAAAGGATTTAAGGTAATCTTGATTTGCCCCAATAATAACTGAAGTGAATGAAACAGATTAACATTAGATTCTTATTTTTACTAACTTCATGGAATTAGTAATACTCAAGCACTCTACAACAGCATTGCCTGATTCATTAGCCAGTAGTCACTAGGTACGTGTGGCTATTTAAATTTTAATAAAAGCTGGGCACTGTGGCTCATGCCTGTAATCCCAGCATTTTGGGAGCCCGAGGCAGCTGGATCACTTGAGCTCAGGAGTTCAAGACCAGCCTGAGCATGAGTGAGCTGAGATCATGCCACTGTACTTCAGCCTCGTGACAGAGCTAGACACCATCTCAAAAAAAAAAAAAAGAAAAATTTTTATGAGGCAACACTTCATTCTATAAAACAGAATAAGCGTTCCAGTCACAGAAGTATTTTTTTGTCACAAGTATTTTTTGTGTAAGATTGCAATGGACTTTGTGCAAGGTTGTGGTTTTTGCAGTCTTTTGTAATAGTTTTTGTTATCAGGTATTTATGCATGAGAAACCCCTCTTCATGCATGGCCTTCCTTGGCCTTCAGGGTTTTTTTGCTTTGTTTTATTTTTTGCTTTATTATTATTATTATTATTTTGAGATGCATTTTCACTGTTGTTGCCCAGGTTGGAGTGCAATGGTGCGATCTCAGCTTACTGCAACCTCCACCTCTAGGGTTCAAGTCATTCTCCTGCCTCAGCTTCCTGGGAAGCTGGGATTACAGGTGCACACCACCACGCCCAGCTAATTTTTGTATTTTTAGTAGGGACAGGGTTTCACCATGTTGGCCAGGCTGGTCTTGAACTCCTGACCTCAGGTGATCCGCCTACCTCAGCCTCCCAAAGTGCTGGGATTACAGGTGTGAGCCACCTTGCCTGGTCTTTTTTTTTTTTGTTTTATTTTTATTTTAACAAAAGCAACTCTAGTTTGATTCTGATAATGTTCATACAATATTATTCAAGACAGTCATGTCCCCAGCCAGGGCAGTGGATGAAGATTTTTCTATACCCACTTGGCAGTTTTATTCCAGTGCTCCCATTCTCTCCTTGGGCGAGCATGGCCATATAATCCATATTTGCCAGATGAGATCTAAGTAGAACTCTAAGGAGGACAGCGTTTCTGTGAAGACTTTTATCTCTCAATAAAGGGAAACTGATGTGGCTATACTACCAGCATGCTTCCCCCTTATTGTTGCTTTCAGTGTGGATATGACATTTAGAGATGCTACAGACATCGTGCAACTACGAAGAGGCAAGTACAAGGGAAAAACCAAGGGAATTGTACATGGCAATCTTGTCATGGTTGAGCTGCAAAATCAAGGACCTCAACTGTTTATCACTAAACTTCGGTGGAAAAAAGGTGTACCAGTTCATTTGAGCCACTTTTGACTAAGTGTTCTATTACTTGCAGCTAAAAGCAATCCTGATTGATACAGAGCATCATGGTACATAATGTATGCAGAGAGGCCATTTACGCCTTCTCCATGAGGCAATGTCTTATCTGCTAAGATTCTGTATTTGAGATGGCCATTATAATACACAGCTCAGAGCTCCTGCTTCAGGGAGTACAACTGACTGATGGCTCCAGCCACTGCCAGCAGGGACCCAGCCCTGGGTTCATGCCAAGGCCATCCTTCTTGGGAGATGCTTTGAGTCTCTCAGCAAGGCAGGGAGACTAATGCAGGCCCATTCCTGCAAGATGAAGGACTCCTTTAATGGGCAACTTTGGCTCAACGACTCCCTGTCAACCTTGCTGAAATTTTAAAAAATTATCCTGCATGAGGCCGGGCGCAGTGGCTCACGCCTGTAATCCAAGCACTTTGGGGCCAAGGTGGGCAGATCACGTGGTCAGGAGATCGAGACCATCCTGGCTAACATGATGAAGCTCCATCTCTACTAATAAATACAAAAAATTAGCCAGGCGTGGCGGCGCATACCTGTAGTCCCAGCTACTCAGGAGGCTGAGACAGGAGAATGGCATGAACCCAGGAGGCAGAGTTTGAAGTGAACAGAGATCGTGCCACTGCACTCCAACCTGGGTGACAGAGCAAGACTCTTTCTCAAAAAAAAAAAAAAAAGATTTATATTTCTGCATGTGAGGCTGTTTTCTCTAATTCTCCTTCCTTGCCCCTCTTCTTCACAAGCATTAGATATTAGATTCACTTATGATCTGAAAGCTCTCCTTGCCTTCTCTTTTTTCCTCTTCTTTATCCTTCATGGGGATTTCTCCTGATAAATCTCTTGTATGCCTAATCTTTTCTTGAAGTCTACTTCTTGAAGAACCCAATCTAACACAATACTCCTGGCTAGATTCGTTAGGAACATAATCTAACCTAGGAAACCAGAAGAGGCTCAGCCTGATTGAAGCATGAAGCAAAAGAGGGCTTGTATCAGTCCATTTCGTGTTTCTATAAAGGAATACCTGAGTCTGGGTAGTTTATTTTAAAAAGGTTTATTTCGTTTACGGTTCTGCAAGCTGTACAAGATGCATAGCCCCAACGTCTGCTTAGCTGTTGGTGAGGGCTTTTGTGCTGCATCGAAACATGATAGAGGGGGCCGGGTGCAGTGGCTCACGCCTGTAATCCCAGCACTTTGGGAGGCCAAGGCGGGCGAATCACGAGGTGAGGAGTTTGAGATCAGCCTAGCCAACATGGTGAAACCCTGTTTCTACTAAAAATACAAAAAATTAGCTGAGTGTAGTGGCGGGTGCCTGTAATCCCAGCTACTCAGGAGGCTGAGGCAGGAGAATTGCTTGAACCCAGGAATTGGAGCTTGCAGTGAGCCAAGATCGCACTACTGCACTCCAGCCTGGATGACAGAGGGAAACGCTGTAAAAAAAAAAAAAAAAAAAGAAAAGAAACATGGTAGAGAAGGTCAAAGGGGAAGTGGGCACGAGAAAAGAGAGACCAAACCCGAGTGGCATCCTGGCTGTATAACAACTCACTCTCTTAGAAACTAATCCATTGCCCCATAACTAACCCAGCCCTGTAAGATGGAGAACTCACCACCAAGCCATTCATGACCACTCCACCCCCGTGACCCAAACACCTCCCACTAAGCCTCAACTCCCAACACTGCTACCTTGGGGATGAGGTTTCAACAGGAGCTTTGGTGGAAACAAACACACCATATCACCATATCTAAACCACGGTAGGGCAGGAGAAGGAAGAAGACTCGGAAGCAACATTCAAGCCCCTTATTTACCAGCCTCTCTCAGCTTTCCTACATTTAAAATTCTTGCCACTAAGAAAAAATTTTCTTTAAATGTCAATAGCTATAAGGGTACAAGTGGTTCCGGGTTGCACATGGATGAATTGTACAGGGGTGATGTCTGGGCTTTCAGTGTACTTGTCACCCAAGTAGTGTATATTGTATCCAATCTCGCCATTTTTTAGAGTCTAGACTCCTCATTCCCTCTGGATCAATCCCCAAAATCCACTCCTACCTTTCTGGATAATTCCTATCAGTACCAGTTTGGTTGCTTGTTTTTTTTTTTTGTTTTGTTCTGTTTTTGTTTTTGTTTTTTTGAGACGGAGTCTCACTCTGTCGCCCAGGCTGGAGTGCAGTGGTGTGATCTCAGCTCATTGCAAGCTCCACCTCCTGGGTTCACACCATTCTCCTGCCTCAGCCTCCTGAGTAGCTGGGACTACAGGCGTCCGCCACCTCGTCCTGCTAGTTTTTTATGTATTTTTAGTAGAGACAGGGTTTCACCGTGTGAGCCAGGATGGTCTCGATCTCCTGACCTCGTGATCCACCCGCCTCAGCCTCCCAAAGTGCTGGGATTACAGGCGTGAGCCCCCACCCCCGGCCTGGTTGCTTGTTTTCAAGATGGCCACAATAAATTCTTTTTCTTCATGTGTGCTCGTAGTATTTTTTATATCAAGAAAGAGATCAATCTGTTCCTATCCTCCTCCTGAATCTGGAATAGTCTTGGTGACTTGATGGACCAATAAATATGGCGGAAGTGACACCGTGACTTTTGACACAGTCGTAAGAAGCCTTGCAGCTTCTCCTTACACCCATGGGCATGCTGTCTGTTGGGATTCTCTTGCACTCTGGGGGAAACCACCTACCATGTAAGAACTGTGGCCACCATGAAACCACCTTTGTAGACAGAGAGAGACAGAGTGAGGCCGGCCAACCCTCAACCATTCCAGCCATCCCAGCCCAGGCACTATACCTGAGTGAAAGAGACAACTTAGACTTCTCAGGCCCATCAGATATCCCAAAAAGAAGAAAGGAGGTTTCAGATATAAGGCACCAGTAAAGATATCTCAGCCATCTCCAACCATTCAGGCCATGCTAGTGGAGGACCCAGACATCATGGAGAAGAGATAAGCCAGCCATTTCTGCTGTGCCGCACCCAAGTTCCTGACTCCCCAAATCATGCGTGCAATAAAATGTTTGTTATTTTATGCCACTAAATTTCAGGATGGTTTGCAATGCAACAAAAGATAACTGGAACATCCTTGGGGTTTCTCACCTCCACATGGCTAAGCCATTTAAAACAGTGACTTCTCAGAACTTCATTTAGCTCTCTGAACTCCATCATCATATTGAGCCAATTCTTCCCAGTCTCTCTCACATTCCTGCCAGACTTTTTGTCTTCCTCACTGGATCCAGTACCATCTTGTACACTTGTAGATGTCATGCACTGCACAAAGGTATCAGGCCAGTGAGTTGAGTGGTGACTGATGGGGGTGTCATTTTTTTGTTTTTGTTTGTTTGTTTGTTTTTGAGACAGAGTCTCACTCTGTCACCGGGGCTGGAGTGCAGTGGCGTGATCTTGGCTCACTGCAACCTGTGCCTCCCAGGTTCAAGAGATTCTCCTGCCTCAGCCTCCCAAGTAGCTGAGATTACAGGTGTGCCACCATGAACAGCTAAATTTTTTTGTATTTTTAGTAGAGATAAGGTTTCACCATGTTTGCCAGGCTGGTCTCAAACTCCTGACCTCAGGTCATCCACCTGCCTCAGCCTCCCAAAGTGCTGGATTACAGGCGTGAGCCACTGCGCCCAGCCAGGGGTGTCTTTTTTTAGTTTCCGTAAATGTGTTAGGCCAGGCACGGTGGCTTAAGCCTGTAATCCCAGCACTTTGGGAGGCCGAGGCAGGTGGATCACCTGAAGTCAAGAGTTCGAGATCAGCCTGGCCAACATGGTGAAACCCCGTCTCTACTAAAAATACAAACATTAGCTAGGCATAGTGGTGCATGCTTGTAGTCCCAGCTACTCAGGAGGCAGAAGCAGGAGAATTGCCTGAACCTTGGAGGCGGAGGTTGCGGTGAGCCGAGATTGCACCACTGCACTCCAGCCTGGGCAACAGAGCGGGCAGGACTCCATCTCAAAAAAAAAAAAAGTGTTATACAATTTAGTGGCTGCCATGACTGGGATTCCCAAATTTTCAATCCGTCAGTTTCTATCGCTGATATCTGATTGCCTGTGCGGAATAATCCAATCTGCCTTTACCTCTACTTTCATTTTCTTGAATCCCTGATTGAAGTGCTTATTGTGCCTATCCTCAGTCTTGGATCTCTTTTTTTCCTCTTTCTATATTAATAAACTTTCCTCCATCTCAATGAAAAGAGCTTATTTTCCTAATTATATGTATTTTCATATTTTAAAAATTTAAACAATGCATAAATTTATAAGAAGAAAGTAAAAACTCACCTGAAATCCCATCCCTGATGCAACTGTAACATAGCTGCCATTAACATTTTGGTGACATTTTTCATGTGTTTGTATATACATGGGAGTTTTTGGATCAGTCTCACTGTCTGTTTCCTTCAGTCTTTTTCCTAGAGACAAATGAAGAACCATCTAATTAGAGCCCACTACACATTTAGTTGTCAGACTTTGCCTGAATACTTACACTGCTTAGCCATATTTAAAAATCTGTCTCATTTCGTGTGGTGGGAATGTGGATCCTATCACATTCAGTTAGTTGATGCCTTCTAATTTCTCCTCAATAACTACCCATCTTGCTGAAAACAATGAGTCTCTCCTCAATTCCCCTTCACCTCAGTAGATTTCTGTCATGGCCCATGCATCAAAAAAACAAAACAAAACACACTAGGAGGAACAAAGACAAGGGAGACGAGTCAGGGATACTTCGGAGTGGGTAGTTGAAAAGAAGACAGAAGTTGGGAAGATGAAATATGTCAGGCCAGGATGGCATGTTCCCTGGAGCAAGGCCAAGCCTATTCTAGATGCAAGGGTCAAAAGCCAAAATGAAATTGCAATGGAAGCAAAATTAAAAAGATCTTGTAGAAATTCTGCGAGTGTCAGTCTGTTTTGTGTTGCTATAACAGAATACCACTGGGTAATATTCTGGGTAGTTGATAAAGAAAAATAATTTATTTCTTACATTTCTGGAGGATGAAAAGTCCGAAGTCAAGTGGCCTTCATGCTACCTCATCCCATGCTGGAGGGTGGATGGGCAAGAGAGGAAGAGAGGACAATAGGGGACCAAACATGCTTTTATCAAGAACCCACTCCTGGCCGGGCACGGTGGCTCATGTCTGTAATCCCAGCACTTTGGGAGGCTAAGCGGGTGGATTACTTGAGGTCAGGAGTTCAAGACCAGCCTGACCAATATGGTGAAACCCTGTCTCTGCTAAAAGTACAAAAAAAAAAATTAGCCAGGCATGGTGGTGGGCGCCTGTAATCCCAGCTACTCGGGAGGCTGAGGTTCGAGAATCACTTGAACCTGGGAGGTGGAGGTTGCAGTGAGCTGAGATCGCACCATGGCACTCCAGCCTGGGCAACACAGAGAGATTCCATCTCAAAAAAGAAAAAACAAACAAACAAAACAAAACAAAACAAAACACCATTACAATAGCAATTAAATGTCAACATGAATTTTGGAGGTGACATTCAAACACTAGCATTCTTCACTGGTCCCCCAAAACTTATGCCTTTCTCACATACAAAATACATTCATCCCATCAAAGCAACTCTCAAATTTTTCACTCATTCCAGCATTAACTCAAAAATCCAAAGTCCGGGGTCTCATCTAAGTTAGATATGAGTGAGCCTAAAAGCACAATTCATCCTGAGACAAATTACTCTCTAGCTGTGAGCCTGTAAAATTAACAAGTTACATGGACCCAACAGGTCCCATGTAAGTCCAAAAGCTAACAAGGGGAACAACATCAAGTCTTCTTAAAGCTCCAGCATAATCTCTTTTGACTCCATGCCCTGAATCCTGGGCACACTGGGGTAGGGGATGGGCCTCCCAATGCCACAGGCAGTCCAACTCCTATGGCTTTGTTGGACTCAGTCCGCCCAGCAGTTCTCATAGGTTGGAGTCCTGTGCCTATAGCTCTCTGAAGCTGGTGCTGCAAGCTGGTAGCTCTACAGTTCTAGGGTTTTAGGACTGGCCCCACTTTCATGGCCCCAGAAGGCACTACCCTAGTGGAGACTCTCTGTGGCAGCTCTGACCCCACATTTCCGTTTGACCATGCCCTAGTGGAAGCTTTCTGTGGTGACTCTGCCTCTGCAACAAGAGTCTCCTGAGGCCCCCAGGCTATCTGCAACATCCTTTGAAATCAAGGTGGAGGACGCCACACCCCCACAACTCTAGCATTCTGCTTGTCTGCGGAAGTAGAACCACATGGACGCTGCCAAGGTTTCCGGCTTGTTCCTTCCAGGGCAGCAGGTCAAAACGTATCTGGGCCCGCTTGAGCCATGGTTGGGGCAGTCCAGGAGCACTGCACCAGAATGCAGGGAGCAGAGATCTGAGGCAGCTCCGAGCAGCAAGTCCATGGAAGGTACCCCAGGCCTATCTCCTGAAACCATTCTGCCCTCCTAGATCTCTGGGGCTGTGATGGGAGAGGCTGTCTCCAAGATCTCTGAAATGCCTTCAGTGTCTCTCTCCCATTGTCTTGATGATCTCTTCCATCTATGTATTAATCTACTTAGCAAACAGTCACTTGGCTACATGCTTGGTTTGCTCTCCCAACATGTTTTTTCATTCTTTATGTAGCCGGGCTGAATTTCTTCAAAGTCTTCTTATTCTGCTTCTGTCTTTCTCCTGTCTCTGTCTCTTTCTCTCTCTCTCTCTTTTCTGCAGACACTATGGTGACTTATGCTTTTCTTTTAATTATAAATTCCAACTTCACATCATTTTTTCCCTCTCATATCTTACTGTATGTGGTGAAAAGTGGCCACATATCTCCTTTAATGTTTTAATTAGAAATTTCTTCCACCGCATATCTTAGTTTATCACTCAAATTCCACCTTCCATAGAGGCTTAGGGCATAGATAAAATTCAGCCAGGTTCTTTACCAATTTATACCAAGGATGGCCTTTACTCTAGTTTCCAGTACTTGTTCCTCAGTTTCAGCCCTTACTATCCATATTTCTGCCAACATTCTGATCATGACAACTTAGGTAATCTCTAAGAAATTCCAGACTTTTCCTACATCCCTTGTCTTCTTCTGAGCTTTCACCAGAATTGCTTTTAATGCTCCATTCAAGACAAGGACTTTTTCTAGGCTTTTCGTCTAAATTCTTCCAGCCTCTACCCATTACCAGTTCACACTGCTTCCACATTTTCAGGTGTTTGTTATAGCAACAGCTCCATTTCTCCATAACAATTTTCTATCTTGCCCATTTTGCATTACTGTAACAGAATGCCACAGACTGGGCAATTTATAAACAATAGAAATATATTTGGCTCATGGTTCTGGAGGTTGGAACATCCAAGAGCATGGGCCTGGCATCTCGTACTGGTCTTGCTGTATCATCTCATGGGGGAAGGTGGAAGGGTAAGAGAGCACAAGAGAGCAAGAAAGGGCAAGCTGGGAGTAAACTCACTTTAACCAGGAACCCATTACCATGATAACAACATTAATCTGTTCCTAAGGGTGGAGCCCCGCATGACCTAATCACCTTTGAAAAGTCCCACCTCTTAATTCTGTCACAGTGGCAATTAAATTTCAACATAAGGCCCAGCGAGGTGGCTCACGCCTTAATACCAGCACTTTGGGAGGCCAAGGTAGGCAGATGACAAGTTTAGGAGTTCAAGACCAGCCTGGCCAACATGGTGAAACCCCGTCTCTACTAAAAATAGAAAAATTAGCCGGGTGTGGGGGCATGTACCTGTAATCAGAGCTACTGGGGAGGCTGAGGCAGAATAATCGCTTGAACCTGGGAGGCGGAGGTTGTAGTGAGCCAAGATCATGATACTGCACTCCAACCTGAGCGACAGAGGAAGGCTCTATCTCAATAAATAAATAAATAAAATAAATAAATTTCAACATGAGTGTTGGAGGGGACGTTCAAATCACAGCAACCAGATACCAGAGTGTGACTCTAACCGGGCTTTGTTACAACCAGTCCAGATGCTAAATTACTTAAAGATGTAAGTGTGGGCTGGGTGCAGTGGCTCATGTCTGTAATCTCAACACTTCGGGAGGCTAAGGCAAGCAGATCTCTTGAGCCCAGGAGTTCAAGACCAGCCTGGGCAATATGGTGAAACCCTGTTTCTATAAAAAATACAAAAATTAGCCAGGCATGGTGGCTCAAGCCTGTAGTCCAAGTTACTCAGAAGGCTGAGGGGGGAGAATCACCTGAGCCTGGGGAGGTTGAAGCTGCAGTGAGCTGCAATCATACCACTGCATTCCAGCCTGGGCAACTGAGTGAGATCCTGTCTCAAAAAAAAAAAAAAAAAAAAGGATCCTTTTGTAGTTCATGAGGATGATGATTGGGTATTTCACACATGTGTGTGAAATGTGCCACCCTCAAACCTTGTTACAATGTCAGCACATTACCTGCCTGACCTGAAAAAAAAAAAAGTTACAAGTGTGACCTAAGACCCTCTGGAGTTCTGGTTCTTGAAAGTGACTCCACATGAATCCTTGGCTAGTTGCTCCTTTCACTCCAATTGCCTAACTACACACCTTGGAACCAGCTCTTGCTTGCCTGATGGCTCAGCTTGTACTCATGGCAGAAGGTGCAGTGGGAGCAGGCATGTCACATGACCAGAGCAGGAGCAAGAGAGACAAGTGCCACATACTTTTAAGCAACCAGATCTCCCAGGAGCTCCACTCACTATTTCAAGGACAGCAGCAAGACATGAAGGATCTGCCCCCATAATCCAAACACCTCGGTCCAGGCTCCACCTCCAACACTGGAGATTACAATTCAACATTACATTTGGCACGGACATATATTCAAACCATATTAGTCCTACAAAAGACTGGAAAGTTTGCTGTGATGGAGAAGGGGTTGTGTGCAGTAGGGGTGGGAATCTAAGGATCTAATGACTTTTTATGCAGACTTTTAACCTATCTGCTAGTTTTCAGCTGCGTGTTCATTGCCAGTGAGTGCCCAAGCTTCCTGTGATTCCAATTTTTAAGCATTTCAGAGACTTTGTGGTATAAATCAGGTCACTTACAGACTTCCCTCACTGGTTTAGAATTTAATTTTCACAAGTCTAGTGAGTCAGTTATCCCTCATCCATCTGCTTTACAGTTTTCAAAATGTTGATGATGTTTGTCTTTATGGGTTTATTTATTTTAAACATTTTACTGTCATTTTCAGGGGTTTAAGAAAGGAATTTGAAGTCAATATGTGCTCAGTCCATCATCTTAAACAAGAGGCTAACATGAAAGTATCTGCAAAGGAGAACAACATGGAAGAAACCTTATTTTAGGAAGTTGAAATCATCCATAAAATGCAGAATAAATTAAAAGGGAAGAAACTAAAGCCATGGGGTCAGGAAGACACACAAAAATCCAGAAAGGAGACAATAAAAGGACCAAAATATGATGGTGACAAAGGGGATAAAAATGAAGAACATGACTTTTAAAAAGAAAGAAAAGAAAAAAATCCTGTGGACCAATCGACTAAGACAAAGAGGGTTCTATAGTGCTATTGGTTTGGAACAGAATGACTGAGATAATTCTAGGGAATTTATGAAAAGTAATGAAGAGTAAGGGAAGAGGATTTGGGGACAGGTCATGGTTGCGTTTTTATAATAGTGATTGTTGAGAGTGCGTTATGGAGGCTGATGTGGGTGGATCACTTAAGCCCAGGAGTTTGAGACCAGCCTGGGCAACATGGCAAAACCTCCATCTCTACAAAAAATACAAAACAATTAGACTGGTGTGGTGTGGTGGTGTGGGCCTGTAATTCCTGCTACTTGGGAGGCTGAGGCTCAAGAATTGTTTGAACCAGGGAGGTGGAGGCTGCAGTGAGCCGACATTGCACCACTGCACTCCAGCCTGAACAACAGAGTGAGACTCAATCTTAAAAAAAAAAAAAAAAAAGAAAGAAGGAAGGAAGGAAGAAAAGAAAAGAAAAAAAAGAAAAGAAAAGAAATCTGGCCAGCTCAGGAGGAACAGCCTAAATATACAGACAGCTGGGACTCCTTTTGTCAGGGCTGTCAGAGAACCAGAACCAAGAGGCTATATGTGTATTTATATTAAGAGATTTACTTTAAAGAATTGGCTCATGTGATTATGGGAACTGGAAAGTCCAAAATCTGTAGGGCTGACCAGCAGGTTAGAAACTCAGGTAAGAGTTGACTCCTCAAGTAGTCTTGAGT